CATAGGCGTTACATAAATCAAATCGTACAACGTTCGACGTTAACAATCCCTAGCGTGTACACATCAATTCCGGATCCTAAGTCACGTAACGCGGGAGAAGGTATTCGTCTTTTTTTTTCGTTTTTTTTTCATCGCGTACGACCGCGCGTCGCGTAAAACAACGGCCAACATTTTTTGTTTTTTACCATATTTTTTGACATTGTCGATACCGTCGGCCGATATCGTTGCACTATGCGGGAACTTCACGACGCTACGGATGAAGCGATCAATTGGATCAAAACCCTCGACATTATATTTCAAAGAAGAACGTACCACTGTTATATTATATTATATTTTATACTTAACATTTTATAATTCATAAATTTGCAGTTACCGTTCAGGTCATTCAATTTTTAATATTACTAATCGTATTTGCTCGCTTGTACTTATATACCACACGATAATAACAATTACGCTGTCGCCGTACGGTTGCCGCGCGTTTCCGTCGTAAACACGCGTCGCGCTGCGGGCCACACACCATCGATCAGACGGTGGTAAAATTGGGGCACGCCGAAAAGAATAAATAAGCGTTATTGTTATTATTATTTTTTTTTCTTCTACCTCGCGCCTGGAGAAAATTCCCAGCGAAATGCGCACGCCTTTATTTCCGTTACGGGACGAATCCGAGTTAATGGCGCATATCATCACGCCAGAGACGTACGTAATATGATCGTCGTCATAATAAACGAATGTTGCGCGCACGCGTGGTGGATTATGTATTGCGTTTCATGTTTTACGCGAACTTTGTGTTTGTTGGGATAACCGCCCGCGATGAGTCGAGGGTTTACGAAGGAAACTTTCGCTCGAATTGTTTTGAAAAACAAAAAAAAATGTAGTCGTTCGTATAGGCGCAACTGTGTAGCGCACATTTTGAAGGGACTATAAGTCCCGAGATAAGACTAGATAAGATAAGAGAGGGGGGTCCCGGGTCTCGACCTCCCTCCCAGAAGAAGAAAAGGTTCAACATTTATGAACCACTCGTTTACGAAAATACAGAGAAAAAGAACATTAATCTTGTGGTTGTAAATAACTCTTCATTTGTATTCGTCATAATAATAGAATAATATAATAATTCCTACCTTAGGTATGTGTATTTTTTGTAATATTATGAAATCACTTATTTTTCGGAATAACTTTAAATCCCCCCCGCAAAAAATGTAAAAATACTCTACTGTCCGCCGGGGCTATGCCACCACACCCCTAGTGATTTACGTACAGACAAAATTCGTGACTATTCACTACTATAGGTTGAGTTAAAATTTTATCAAGAAGATATAAAAAATGTGATTTCGTGACCGAATTTCGATTTTGGATACTTCTTAGTTAATCGAAGACAGTAATACACCGAATAACGACTTAATTAATTATTTTGTGTGTTGAGATCATAGACACGGATGATTAGATTTTGTCTCAATCTCGCAGACAAAATTTTGAGTTCAATATTTTGAATCTGGGAGGGATATGAAAATATTTAAGGGGCTAATTCCTACACCTCTATTTTCGCCTACGACATGATGTGCGGCTGAATCGGAACGCGTGATGGTATCTCCGGGCTTATGAAAAACGATCGTGTAAAATAATTCAATCACTTGTTCGGAACGTTCGTGATTTCCGAGCTAATCGAATTATACGCAATGTTGCTGATATACATAGTGCACATATTATGTTCGCATAAATTACCATCGGCAATGAACCAAAACATTATTATTAAGTGTTCAAGTTTCGGTCGACAATTACGCGGCATAAATGCAGGTATAAAGTTACGATTAATAACATTACAGCGGTTAATAGAAATAAAAAATAACGATTGTTCTAATATCATTACGTAAACGGTAAATACCTTCCTATTGAATTAGTCGTGCACTTCCAACACACACGTGTTGAAAAAAATAAAAACTAATACATACGAGTATACTCGATTCTCTGACATCAATTTAAAACGTATTAACGAAAATTAGTTTTCGTATAAACAGTTTTCTCCTCCATGAGACTTAAATTTTACTGTTACTCTTAAGTTTAGTTTAAATAAAAAAGTAAATATAAAATAAAAAACAATAAGTAAACCAATCATATTCTTTGTCGTAATGTTTTATGTAGCGTACACAGTGGGTTAGATTAGACAACATTATATAAATATTTACCCTTTTGTCCCTTTGGTGTACCCAAATGTTTCATAGAACCTTTGCATCTAAAAGTTTAGAGATCCATATATTATCGAATATGCTTCCACACGGATTACGTAATATGTATACAAAAAAAAAAAAAATCGTTTGAGTGAATTGAAATTTATCGAACGTCTACTGGGAATGTAACAATGGAAGCATCGATAAGAGAAACAGGTATAAAATAGAAAAATAATTTCGTCTTGTGTATTTAATACCATTCCATTATAATAGACCCCTAAACCAAACTAGGATTTGATGAACTCACGAATCATTACGTATTTTTATCTAAAATATCAATGTATTTTTTATTAATGCATTCAATTTTTTTATTACCATAATCTTTTCACGGATATTTCAATTATTATGCTGATAATTTTTAGATTTACAACTACTATTATGATCGAATAACAAATCAAAACGAATTCCAGAAACCGCCCGATGAAATTTTTTAATTAATTCGAAATATCATTTCATCGTAATCGAAAAATGGGTCATTCGATTTATAATCAACCATCGATTTACTGTATTAACAGTATTTACTTGTACTATTACATTTTATTCATCCGCAGTAGAAAATATTTTAGGCGGTAAATATTTTTTTTGATTCATTGTTCACATTTCTAAACGAATTATATAACAAGTAAACATATTCATATTTACGCTATAATTATACTATTCAATAGTCTTGTTTTGTTTTTTGTTGAGGGCAGTGGCGTATTTATATCAGGCCCTATAGGTACGTGCCTATAGCGGCAAATTTAAAGAATGTATTTTGTTATTAATTATAAATAAAAATGTTTTAACATTTTAAAAATCATGTTTTAGTATTGAAATAAAATTTGTTCTGCATACTTGCCTCATTAATATATATTTTATTGTTGGTACCTAATTAAATTATATTCAGTTAGTGTAGTGTATTATTTATAGTGTATTATTATTTTAGTTATTTTGAGCAACAATTTTCTATATGCCTACTCACGGGAAACACTTGAATACGTTCCCGGTGAAAGGATTAATTAATTTTTATTTTTTCATCAGAAATTCGTTAAACCCGAAATCATACCTTTTGCCGGTCGGAATACCGTGCGATAGGTATAATATTATGAGCGTACTTGTTATCTTAAAACTTAAATCTAATTATTATTTCATAACAGTGTAGAGCGTCGTGATTGCGGTTGAACATTATTAGCTTTTGCTTACGCTTAAGGGAACTGTCGAAAAAACGACTCATCTTCGAAACAATGAAAATACAATTAATACAAAATAAATTAGAATTGAATTCGTGCGGGGATCCGTCAATCGTTCGGAACGCGTTGAGTGCGAGAAGAGACGTGTTACGAGTATAATGGACGAAACGAAAAACGGCTACGTATACGCTTTTACGTGAACCATTTCGTTTCTCACTGGCCCGCGTCTACAGTCCGCAGGCATTTCGTTTTCTATAAATAGCCGTGCACGTCGACGGGCGCAATAGCACGCGGTCAAGTTTTCGAGTACTCGGCTTGGAGATAATTACTTTTTTATTAATTTTTTTCTATTTGTGTGCGCAACGCAACTGCGGGAAGATCGAAAAGGAACCCACGCGTATCCCGGCCGGTTCTCGGACCTGAGGCCAAGGACGACGAACCTGCGCGGTTTCGCTTTCGACTGCGTCTGCGAGTGCACCGTATGTGCAGCGGTGCCCGATGTACGTGCGGTATTGCGTACAAATAAAATCCGAGTACGACTGCGATAAACGCTGAGCGTGTTGAGGTACAGCCGTGCATCGTTCGACTGTATAACATTTCGCGAATCAATGAGTAGACCGTTCGATTTTACAGCATGTTAAAAACTAATAGATTACGGTTTTTCCGATACCCGCGCAGACAACGCAGTTCAAATAATGAACGCCTAACCCAACAATACACCATTGACATCGTGGGTAGCTAAAACCTTCAGAGGTCCTATACGTTCCCCTTGATCATAGGTCGTCAGCGCGTGCGCGCCAACCGATGGATTCAAATCGATGAGTCCTCTAGTGACAAGTGATTATTACGTGCGACTGTCCGGTTGCACCGATCGGCTCTCGAACCTTTGTAACCCCGAAAACCCTCCTTCAAACAAGGTGCAATGTAATCAAACCACTACACCCTATTCTTTCCCCCCCCCCCCAATTATAATATTTGCATTTTAGTTTGCATTGTAGTTCTGGAAACGGTGTTACGTGCAAAATTCAAATCGTCCATCACTCGTACGTCCCGGTGCACCGGTGCACGTTTGTCCGTCCGGGGATCCCACGCACGGCAAGAGACGCGGGCGCGGGCACGACGGAACAGAAACCGAACGAACGCGTTTTCGGGACGCGCGACAAAGAGCCGTCGCGACGCGGACCGTGCGGAGGCGTTACGTGATTCCGTAACGCGTCACGTCGAATGTGTACCGGTAAACGCGCGCGCGTGTCGCAGCGAGCGGAAGGTGCGCGTGACATAATGCGCTACAACTCTCGGTCGTATTTATGTTTATGGATTTTTTTTTTTTTCATTTTTTCCGTTATATTTATCATTTCTCTCGGCAGTGCACGCACGTCTCGAACGAAAACGTCGAAACCGGTTCGTGCACGACCGCGGGTTTTTTTTTTCCCCCCCGTCGAGTCACCCGTACGGGGACACACGGACCGCGCACCCAACGACGGGTACGCGCTCGTTTCGTCCGGAAAGTCCGGAAGAAATGAAAGTTATTTCGTAACGCGTCGGCGGCGGCGGCTCCTTCCACCGCGGCCGCTGCGAACCGGAAGACGGCCAACGGTAGTGGTCGCCAGAATAACACGACCGACCGTCAATCGTTGTCGGACAACCGAACAAACGTGTACCCTTTTGTCGTCAGCCCCGTTCCGTCTCGTTCGTCCACGAAGGAAACCTTCCGCCGGCCAAAGTTCGTACGTGTCCGTACTTAAACGTCTATTTTGTCTCTTTTTTTTTTTTTTTTCTGTCTCGCGTTAGCCAGTACCGAGCGGTGAAAACGACGCGCGCCCCGCGACCAGTGTCTCTCGCACCCCGCGTCCGACGTACGTTTCGACGACCGTACGATTTCCGATCACTCGCCCGTTCGTGTCCACCCCGTCGGTCGACCGTCGCCGGAAAGTCATGCGCATCACGCTGATCGGATTCCTGGTGCTGGTGATGGGCGCCGCCGTCAAGGCGCACATACACTTCATCCGGCTGGCTCTGCTGGCCGCGATGGGACTGATGGGCATGTGGATGATGCACAAGCTCGCCCAGGACTGGCAGAAGATATCGTCGTCCAACAGACCGGCCAAGCCCGCCTCCGCCGCCATGGCCGCCGGAAAACTTTTGGGCATCTGGAAGAGGTCCATCCCCGACGCGGTGAGTGCAGGAGTCCACGATCTCTCCGAGAGAATTCGACGCGCGCGCGTTTCGTCCGCAGCTGGTTCTCGCCGCGCGCCAATCGAGAAACGCATGACAATTTTTTTAAAAATATTCCACCGTTCGCCGGTGAAACGAATGATGACTTCCTGTACAGCTCCTTTAATGTACTAATCGTGTTTCATTGACGTTACTGTTTAAACCCCGGGCCGCATTGTATTCGAAACGCGACCGTACTCGTCACGCAATAATTATTATCGGATTGTGTTGTACAAAGGGGGACTTCGTGACCGCCGGCGGCGGCCGGTTCGAATAGATACCGATTCGGACTCGCGTCTAAAAACCGGAACACGATTGGGCAAAACGTATTGTAGCGACGACGACGGTAATAATAATTCCTGCCCCCGGGTGTACCGCGGCGTTAAATAACGCGACATCCATTGAGTGTTGCAATTACTCTTAGAGTTATCGATCCGTTCATCTCGACGTAACCGATCGCAATAACGTTTCCGCGACATAGTCCCGTGATACATGCACAATAATACTGGGCATCGAGCAATAATTGAAAAAACTTATTGTACGATCGATAACCGGCGAAAATAAAGTGGTGGCACGGGGCCATTAACGACTACGGACAAATTAAACAACAACACCGCGAGTTAAACACACGCAAACGTGCACCACGCACGGGTTCACGATCCACTGAATTCCGACCATAAACAATGCGATGTAAAACGAGAATTAAATACAAACAAGTGCGATGGACGCGCGAGCGAAGAACGTTTTTTAATGAGAACATCGTGATCTCGTGCGTATCACTTGAATACGTAATCATGTTGTACGGGCGCGCGCACGTAACAACGTACTATGTACTTGTTTACTTACTGCAGTTCGACGAGTCCGGCGTACAACGAAATATATAAACGCGTCGTGCGAAATTAGTTTTTGTCGCTGTGTACAAGCACGGGCCGCGTAACGGGTTAACGTATGGTTTCAACGTCCTCGGGTTGCCCCGGATGATATAGTTTTATTGTTTTTGACCTCGTCCGGTGTATGGTACAGCTTATCGTCGTTCTCCGGGGTTCGTTTGCTCGTTTCGAGAACTCACGCGATTCCGGGCGAAAATCTACACACGTAACAGTCGCACGGACCCGTAACACAACGGTGCAACGATTATCATTGTTTACGAATAAGTCCCGTGCCAGCCGTAAAATGTCATCGGAACGTCATTGACTTATTTGTGCATCGCCGTGTGCGTGTTCACCTGTGACGCGCGGCGACTGGTTTTTGTACTCGAGACGTAGATTTTCGCTTTACAATCTTGTACGGGCACGTAATACGTGTATAACAATACCTACTGTAAAACAAGGTTGCGATATCTCGTTTTTGTCCATATTTTCGGCGTAGAAGAACCGTTCGCGAGAGATATTACATAATACGAGTTTACTGGGCACTGCGAGTTTCTATTTTGAACTTTTTAATTTGAAAAAAGACATAACCGATTACGATAAATTTGTTTCTAAAAGTTTCTCGTGCGAACAACATGTACACGAAAGTACTAAAAGAAACGTTAATAAACTACGTACTAACCACCCGTACGGCCACTGTATAACCTCCGATGTATTATCGGGACATGATTATTAGCACATGTGGAGGATATATATACTCGTATATATGTGAAGCTTTACTTACGTTCGTCTTATACCAATTGTGTTTCTCACGTGCACCGCACAAGCGCCTCACATTACTCTCTCGGGTAAAATTATTTATTTTGTAATTTATACGTACAGGTTCGGTGGCCGATGCTTTAAAATAATTGTTTTTGGTAATCGAAAATAAGCTATTCCAACGTGTGTATCTGAGGTTCGTTTTCGAGAAGAACTCTACGTAATACGATTAACTAGTCGCTGAACTGGTTTTTTAATTTTTTTTTTTTTGCAGCTCAATTTTTGGAATAATTTAGAAAACCGGTGAAAGGGTCGAACGAACACTGTCCGAAGAAAACAGTTTTAATATAATTGTTAGACATGTTGTTATTTTTCGTTTGATGAAAAGAAAAATCGCTTATTAGAACTTTTACGGTATTACAGTAACAGTAATAGCACAGCCTCACTATGTTGTTTTAGACACACGTCATAAGATAAATTATGCAATATCGTTAACTGATAATTTATCTGTTCATTAAACTTATACTTAAGGAACAATTCGCAATGCACCGATGTTTTAAGTTTCCAATAATAAGTTATTAAACCCGTATACTGAATACCGTAGAATATTGTATAACCTTCGTGTTATGTTCAAAGTATCGTATATCATATTTTTACGAGCAATATTATTTTGTATACATTTTTTTTTATAAATACGCATAAAATACATAGTAATAAATATTAAAGTAAATGTGTTGAGGACAAAAAGTTTCAAATGTCAAATATAATATCTAAGGGCACGCAACATACGATTGTTTAATAAAGTTGACACCATCTATGTGTACGTTATGTTACGTCATAAATATTATAGAGTTTAAATATACCTGTATTATAATGTTGCACTTATATGATTGATTTGAAATTGTTTTTTATTTAAAATAATATTGAAAAATAGCATACGTTTAACATTCTTACGGATACTGATTACAGTTCGATATTCAGTCCAAGTTATAAAAACGGGAAAGCATTTTCAAAATTACATATACGTTTCCGGCCACTCGCGTATTACTGCAGTTGAAATAAAAATAATAACTAGTGCTCGGAAGATGTTGCGCTTGCATGATTTTTTTTTTTTTTTTGACAATTAGATTTATTGCTAAGTGAGCTAGAAATTCATCACCAGACGAATGATATAGGTACTAAAAATTAACAATGCATATTTTTGTATATTTATCGTAGATGTTTAAGAACAGATTTTTAAATTTCCCAATTTTTAGAGCACATTTTTTTATAATCTATGTTGATTATTAATTTTAAAAATTCATAAATAAAAAAATTAATATATTCATATTGATATTTCTTACGAGATTTTCTTGTATTATGTTTTTAAAATTTCTATTTGAAATTAAAAACAATGTTATGTATGGAAGATAATTTAGTGTACATTAGTTCAAATCTTGGACTTACACTGAAGTATATTATGAAACTAGAAAAGCAAAATATTTCATTATGTGAAGTATTATCTGCAGTAAAATATGTCCGAAATAAATTGAACTACTATGAAGGGGGAATCGGTGTTGAAGTATTTCAAACATTTAATAATGTATCGGAGAAAAATAGTGGATTTAAAGCAATACTTAAGATTTCTAAAATGTTAACTGGAAAAGAAACTTCAATAGAGAATCTTTCCGATGATTAACCGGTGACAATACAACAACTTTCTTCAAATACGTGTCAATTACATCAATTGATGTTGAACGTTATTTTTAAAAGCGTAAAACCTTGCTAGTAGATAATCGGCTATCATTCAAAACATCAAAAATATTTTATTGGTCTAGTTTAATATTTTTGAAGGCAAAACAAAATTATACCTAAGCAATACGTTTTAATTGGGTTCCGGGTGATTTCTAATTTTTATTTATATATTTCAGATATACAACTCTACAGAAACAGTACTAATTAATTATTACTTTGTCTTTTACTATATTTATAGTTTTATAAAATATTTGTACGAATACAGGTATTGTGTAGAAAAAAAAAAATCAAACATAGGTTCGTATTTTCAAAGCATATTTGTAACTTTTTATGCGCATAAATGCATGCGTACTTGAAGTACTTTTCAAGAGCATTAAGTCCCGAGTCCTAATAATAATAGTACGGCATGTATACAAATCGACGGCAAGCCACGAACAAATATTCAATGTTGAATTTGCTTTCGACGGGAACGGGTAATAATTATTTTCACCTCGAACGTGTCGTGAATGTTACAATTTTTATTTTTCTTCTATGTTTCTGCAGCGTACCGAACAAGGGTTGTTTTTAATATTTACGGGGAATTCGAAAAACGACCGCTCAGTACCTACTCACACATATATGTGTGCGATTTCCAATCAGCTGACCGCACGTGCGGGACGATGAAAACAATTATTATCGGGAGTAGAGGGAATAAGTTTAAAAATCCACGGCTGTAAAACGAATATCTCGCCCCCCCCCCCCCCCCGGTTTAAAATATCGCTGGAACAACAACGTATAATTATATATGTCCGATCAATGATTGCGATCGTCTTGTTTTTGCGCATCCGTCGTCGCGTCCAAATGCGTAAGCACACGAACAACATACGAGCGCCTTACCGTAATATATTATTATTTTATTATTGTTTAGTACCGTCGGTGGTTTTTATTTTGACAAGCAAGTTGAACGCACGGTCGACTGAAGAGGGACGAGATTAAAGTGGATTCTGATGAAATCCGTTTAAAGTAGATTGCTCCTTTTGTCCGCAACCGCCACCGCCGCCACCCACGTTGTACGTTTGTCGATACGGCACACGGATAAAGCGCAATATTAACGGTTTTCGGTCACAGCAGGGCGACGATCGATGGGATGAGATGTTTACTACGACGAGCGAAAAAAAAAAGAAAGGAGCGGAATAAAGTACGAGGACAGGGGGTTGGAAAAAGGAGAAACAGGAAAACATATTCAACGGTGACCCGTGCCGCCACTTGAGATGTGACGTCATACTCACACGTACACACGTAACCAGTGGCGTATTTACGGGGGGTGATATGGGGGATGGATCCCCCCCTTGACCTTTTTTTTATATAGGTAGTTAAGTTGTCTCATTTCCTGTATTTCTCAAGTATGATATTACTTTTAAGTATGTCTGCTTTCTAAATGTTCTAGTCGTGGTTATTGTACCGCCCTGATATACTAATCGCTACTAATCATTGGCGGCATATGCGACTATCGGGCAACAAAAATATACACATATATAATATATGGTGTACTGTATTTTGTTTCTGCGAATTATTTTTCATGCAAGAGTGTTTATAATAAATCCGATAAGCAGTCGCTAA